CGGTGCAAGGAGCGAGCTGAGTGTGGCGAGTGGGACGCTGCTGCTTAGGCCTTAGGTAGAAAGCGTGTTGGTGCTGTGCCAGTCGCCCATACCAAGGCCCAGGGGCTAACTTAAATACCTACTTTCTGACCTCCTTATTCTGTGACTCATAAGTGTCTTCTCCTGTGTGTTTCAGGCTATACTGATTTTCTGCTGGGTTTATGTGCGCAAGTATCAGAGTCGGCGGGAAAGCGAAGTGATTTCGACCATAACGGCGATCTTTGCGTTGGCAGTTGCTCTGATCTCGTCAGCACTACTACCAGTGGATATCTTTTTGGTTTCGTATATGAAAAACCAAAATGGTACATTTAAGGTATGGGCTTTTAAAAGTGTTAATTACCTCTTCAGAAGGAGCTCTTGTGTTGAAAGAAGATGTTTTTGGGTTTCAGACCAATGCTAATACCTGTTCTAGTGTCTGAGGTTTTTTTATGTTTTGAAAGCTAGGAACTAGTACTGTGAATACATCACTGAGTTCTGTTGTTGGAATTAGATTTCAGTTTTCACCTCTATTCATTACATTACTCATTTCAACATGCTTATTGCTTCTGTTTTGCTGAAGGAGTGTGTATACAATCCTGAAGGTATAAATAAACCTCTTAAATGTTGCTTTTTAGTAAATCATAATGGGGCATTGTAGGATGGAATTTGGTTCCGTTGTTCAAAAGTGATGTTGCTCATTTGCAGTTTAAGATTATTTTGGTTGTCTCTTTTGCCAATGATGTCTTGTTCTCGTACTGAAACATTAAGACTTATAAACATTTACTGTGTTAATCTACATATAATGTAGACCCTGAGTTAATAAGTGCCTTTTTGAAGAGGGAAAGCTGGAAAAACCTTTAGGGAGAGGAATACTGTAGTATTTCTTCTTGGCTGATGCCACCTTAACTACCATTTTCATAAACTTAGAGTGTAGGGCGTTGCTGTACTACATGAGTTCTTAATGAGAGGAGCACTCACTGTAATCTGCTCTGAGGATTACTGTAAGTAAGAGTTCTTCCCAACACTTAAAAGTATGGGCCTTTTCAGTTTTCAAGGAGAGTTCTTGAAAGCAGTGACCAGTGTCTTTGTGCCTTGGTTTGGGCTGAACAGAACTAGTTGTTCAGTGATTTTAGTTTTCAGCTCAGTCTCTCCTAAGAGGCTGCACTTGCTCAAGTTAGCAGCATGTTTTCGCAGACAGTGCCTGCTCCTAGCAATGATAACACCTGATGTTTACAGTTACTGCCTGGGATTGGTATGCAGAAAGGCTCTTGCTTAAACTTGCTCCTGTAGTGACCAAGGCCACTGCTGGATCTTGTATAACATGTTGAGGTTGCTGGAACATAAAAGGATCATAAGGAAGTAAAAGGTTGCACCTCCATGGAGGAACAAACAGGACAGGTGATCAGCAAGAGCATTCTGTTCCACATACATTGTATATGGTATAAAACTGGGGGATCACAGGGGTTAAGAGTCTCTTCTTCAGTGGCCTGTGTCCAAGGAAGCCTATCTGATATTCTGCCTTTGAAAGTGATCCTGAGTTCCTGAATTCAGCTCCTGTACCAGGTTCCCCTCTGCTACTGGGCCTGGGACTTCCCAGGTGCTGCCTGTTCTACAACATCAGTGGGGATTGCTATAGGTGGTAGGTGGGAGGGGAGGAGTTGAGCCTGATATTGGTTTGGTATATGCTTGTGTATATTTCATTATTTCCTTATTAATACTACTATTGTTTATTAAAGCTGTTTTAGTTTTCTTTTCCAATATGTAAGTCTCTGCCTTGTTCCCTTTCCCTTCCTGTCTGGGCAGGCAGAGGAGTTAGCATCTGTCAGTGTTCAGTGGGCATCCCAGCCGTAACTCTTGACACTTTGTGAGGGTACTATCAGTAAAACCAGATCACACTGGAGCATCTTAACTTGAGCAGTAGTTTAGTTTGGTTTGGAGCCTACTCGGATCAATACTATGATCCTGAAAACACGTGAGAGTGGTCAGGTGGTATATGCTTGCACACTGGACTCAAAGACTGTGTTCTCTTCCAGCCCTACTTCCAGAGGAAGACTTAGGTCATGTAAATGCAAGTCCTGAGAAGCATGCAGAATTGTGCTGCGATGTGATTCCTGTGTTTATTGCTCAGTGGCAATACAGAATAAATCAAGCTGTTGTTCAGTGTTGTTGTTAAAAGTTTGTATCTTTAGACCTTGTTTGTTGAGAGTCAAAATGGATAAAGAGGAGAGAAGAAACTTCTTGTATATCATGATGCTAGCAGTTAATTGGTAATAATACTGGGTATTGAGAAATATATTGAGCCTGACTAGTTAGGGAGCTAGCAATGATGTAACTAGGTTCAGCTGGAAAATGTGTATCTGCTGCAGACTGAGCAGAACTTCCTGCTGCCAAGGAGACTTATATTGTTCCTTGCTTTGAGAAACATACCTGGGGCGAATAGGAGGCAAAATGCAGTCACTACATTTTTATTTAAGGAAGTATGATTAATAGAAGGGAAATTACTGTACTTAAAATGCTGTTTTTCTTGAGCTACTCTTCTTTGCTAATGGCCACATGCTGTGATATGATGTGGTAGGCAGATTATGTTTAAAAAACATACCAGAAAGCAAGCTTTCATGCCTGTGGTTAAGCTTTTATTTCTTTAAAGTTCCTGTGCCTATGCTTCTGAGAGTTCTTGGTCCTACTTAGTTCCTAATGTTTGTAGGTGGTGCTGATGGCCTGTTAAAATTAAACTGCTCCATCGCGCCTTGCAGAAGAGTTCTTCCTTCTCTTTTAAGGCTCAGCTGAATGAGTTTCTAGTTTTGCAGCGATAACTTGAGATCTTTTGGTGTTAATAAATGAGATCAAATGCAAGTGTCAGTAAAAATTTTGTGATGTAAAAATATTAACATGAACTTCCTGATAAAGATGAGTGGATCTGAAGTCAGTCATACAAATCTGTATATAAACACACGACTTTATTGATTTGGTAATTTCAGATTAGGAGTAATGTCAAGTTAGGAGGTTGGCAGCATCTTAATGTGAGAATTGTGACTCTGGCAAAAATTCTTTGTTTTTCATGGCCAGAGTGAGTTAAGTTGCCACTAGATTATTCCTGGTGAACTTTTTACTTCTCTTTTTTTGTTTGCATAGTCTCCTTCTGTACCTCCCAACTGTAGTTCCTGGTATCAGTGTTAAAGAGATGAGAGTCAAGGATGCTCAGTTTACAAGGAAGAGGTACTATAAGTGGACTTTGAGTTAATTTTCAAAACGTCTGACCCTGTTATCAACCTCTGGGTATTCTTGAAGTTTTTCTGTGACCAAACTTGTAGCAAACTTGAGGTTAATCATGTTATACTGATAGCAGAGGTTAAACTGTAGGTGTAGCCTGGTAGTTCAGAGTTCTCGTTGTGAATTGTATGTTCAGTGACAAGTGAAGGTATGTGTCCTGGCTGCAAGAATTACCTTGGTTGGCTTGGGTCCTGTGACTGGAGCTTGGGAATGGATGGATACAGACTTTTTAAGAAGGAGAGGCAAGGGAGCTGAGGAGGGGGTGTCGCCTTCTATGTCAGTGACTGCCTGGAGTCTGTGAAGGCAAGGATGGGTATTATCATAGCAGATGTCTGCTACAGGCCATCTGACCAGGAAACCAAGTGCGTGAGGCCCTCTGTAGACAGAGAGGAGCAGCAGCTTCATGTTCACAAACCTGTTCCTCATGGGGGATTTAAGCATCCTCATTTAGAATCATGGAACAGTTTCAGCTGGAAGAGTCCAACCTTCTGCTGGCGGAACAACACAGTCTGGAAGGTTTCTGGAATGCATCTCCAGGTGGTAGAGGAGCCAAAGAGAAAAGGTGCTATGTTAGTATTCTCACCAGTGAGGAGGGGACTGGTGGGCAGTGTGAACTCAGGGGCAGCCTTGACTGCAGTGGACATGAAATGGTTGAATTAAAGATCTTTAGCCCAACAAGGAGGGTGAACAGCAAGCTCGTTAGCCTGGACTTCAGGAGAGCAAATTGTGAACTCTTCAAGGACCTGCTTGGTAGGGTACTGTGGTATAAAGCCCTGGAGGGCAAAGGGGCCTGAGACCCAAGAAACCTGGTTAGTATTCAGGGATCACCTCTGAGCTCAGGAACAATGTATTCCAACAAAGAGGAAGATGGATGAGAATATCAGGAGGCCTGCATGGATGAACAGGGAGCTCCTGGGCACTATTAGTTGTAAAAAGAAAGTTGACAAAAGGTGGAAACAGGGACAGGTAACCTGGGAGGAATATAAAGAAGTTGTCTGAGCAGCCAGGGATTAGGTTAGGAATGCTAAGGCCCGGGTGGAATTAAGTCTGGCTAGGGACATCAAAGGTAACAAGAAAAGCTTTTAGAAGCATGCCAGTGATAAAAGGAAGACTAGGGATAATGTGAGCCCTCTCTGGAAGGAAATGGGTGACCTGGTCACCCAGGATATGGAGAAGGCTGAGGTACTCAAATTTTTTGCCTCAGTCTTCAATGGCAAGTGCTCTAACCACACCATCCAAGCTGTAGAAGACAAAGACAGGGACTGGGAGAATGAAGATCCACTCGCTATAAGAGAAGATCAGGTTTGAGACCATCTAATGAACCTGGAGGTTCACAACTTCATGGGACCTGATGGGATCCATCTGTGGGTCCTGAGAGAACTAGTCGACAGAATTGCACAGCTATCTTCTATCTTATTTGAAAAGTCATGGTGGTCTAGTGAAATTTGCCCTGACTGGAAGAGAGAACACATAACCCTTGTTTTCAAGGAGGTAAGGGAGGACCTGGGACCTACAAGCCAGTCAGTTTCACCTTGATGCCTGGGCAAGGTAATGGGGCACATCCTCCTGAAGGCTCTGCTCGCACACGTGGAAAACAAGGAGGTGACTGGTGTCAACCGAAACAGCTTCACCAAGGGCAAATCATGCCTGAAAAAACTGGTGACTTTTTATGATGGGGTTATAGCATTAGTGCTGTCACATTAAAAGGAATGTAGTTTCAATATTTGTCTGTCAAAGTCCCAGGATTTTTATCGATTTGTCTCTTGGAGCCCTGGCAAAGGGCTTTCTCTCGGAGTCCTGGCAGTTGATGTTGGTTACTTATGAGAACGATGGAACAGGTTTGAGATTGCTGTTGATAAAATCACTAACTAAAATAGCGCTACTAATTAAGTTTAATATTGCTATCAGAAATATTAATACAACAACCCAGGGGTAACTTTCACCAGAGGGTGAAAGGTACAGGTGCTTACCCAGAGAGGTGTTCCTGCCTGGCGTGAAGGAAGAGAATATAGATTGTCGACTGGTCTATCAGATGTTGAGGTTCTTCTCTCCCAATTTAACAAT